TGAGCCGTGGCAGTGACGGTGGGTAGGGCAGACCTTGTGTGTGCAGATGGGTGGGGCAGCCCTTGTGTGCGCAGGTGGGTGGGGCAGACCTTGTGTGTGCAGATGGGTGGGGCAGCCCTTGTGTGCGCAGGTGGGTGGGGCAGACCTTGTGTGGGCAGGTGGGTGGGGCAGCCCTTGTGTGCGCAGGTGGGTGGGGCAGCCCTTGTGTGTGCAGATGGTGGGGCAGCCCTTGTGTGCGCAGGTGGGTGGGGCAGCCCTTGTGTGTACTGGTGGGTGGGGCAGCCCTTGTGTGCGCAGGTGGGTGGAGCAGCCCTGGGGTTGTGCGCAGGTGGGTGGGGCAGCCCTTGTGTGCGCAGGTGGGTGGGGCAGCCCTTGTGTGCGCAGGTGGGTGGGGCAGCCCTTGTGTGTACTGGTGGGTGGGGCAGCCCTTGTGTGCGCAGGTGGGTGGGGCAGCCCTTGTGCATAATACTGGTGACCGGGGGCCACCTTAGATTCACTGTCCAGGTGGTGATCAACGCATGCTGGCACAGGGAAAATAAATCACCGGAAGTACTTTCTCACGAGATTTTGCGAGAACGTCACAATTCGTACGACGCGTTTTATAAGTATATGCGCGTATTTCGCAGCACTGGGTGGCATGGGTGGGTGGCATGGGTGGGTATCAGTGCCCTTCGTTTACCGCATCGGCCGGGGGAAAATACATACTCGTGTCGAAGCTGCACACGGCTTTGTAAACGCCCTCGCGTGGAACCATCTACCGTATTCGCCGGCCCATGACAGTTAGTGGTGCTCCTGATGCTAATCATACAGACAAAGAGAGAGAGATAGAGAGAGAGAGAGAGCGAGAGAGAGTGAGATAGACAATCCGTGCACACGTCGATTCGAACTAGAGATGCTACCATTCGTAGAGATTCACAACTAGAGATGCTACCATTCGTAGAGATCCACAACTAGAGATGGTATTATTCGTAGAGATTCGAAACTAGAGATGCTATTATTCGTAGAGATTCAAAACTAGAGATGCTACCATTCGTAGAGCTTCGAAACTAGAGATGCTGTTATTCGTAGAGATTCGAAACTAGAGATGCTGTTATTCGATCGTAGAGACTCCATGCTGTCCTCCGCAAGATAATTATTTATTTTTCTGTTGGTTTGGTGTTACTAAAACATACAAATGTTCTGTAAATATTGTTTGAAAACGAGTATTACGATGAAAATACCAATATTTATATGCGTAGCTAACACAGTAACAAGTTTAGACTATCGGTTTTGGTAAATCATGCGAAGCCCACTGATTCACTGAGTCATTGTTTTCAGCACTTCCGAAATCACACCGACTTTTATGCCTCGGCGCATAGGTCGTCGTGATTATTGGAAACATGTTAATGACATAAAAGTGTGTTCTTGTAAGGCCGGCAGATACGGTATGTTTCCCGTGAGGTGCGGATGGTTGGGGTGGGGTTGGGTGGGTGGTGTTGGGTGAGAACAAACCTTTCCTCTTGTTGGGAGGGTGAAGGGCGTTATGGTTTAGGAAATGTCATTACTAATTTTCGAAACGAGATTGCAGACGATTATTTAATTTCCTTGCTTCTCTACTAAGAATGTATTGAATCACGTGACGTCAGTGTATGTAACCGATCTGCGTGGGGTCGGTGAGAGATCTTCAACAGATCTGTTCCGCAGGTAGCAGGTCTGTCACGTCTGTAGTAGATCTACAACATATCTGGATTGTGTCTATAACAGATATGCATCGGATGTGTATTGTGTCTGCAACAGATCTGCATTATGTCTATCACAGGTCTGCAAGAGATCTGTAACAGGTCTGCAAGAGATCTGTAACAGATCTGTAACAGGTCTGTAACAGATCTGTAACAGGTCTGTAACAGATCTGCAAGAGATCTGTAACAGGTCTGTAGCAGGTCTGCATACGGACTGTAACAGAACTGTGACGGACGTGTAACAGAACGGTTCTGCTAGTGTGTAATTTTCATTGTAATGCGACAGGTGTGCGTGCGATGTAATGGTACGGGAACACATACAGGTATTACGAGTTCCGTAAGCAGCGTCTGCAGCAGAACTTCGTACGTGTAACGCGTGTGCCCCCTCCGTGTACACAGGTGTAAGAGGTGTAGCGGGTATATATACGGCATAAGCGGTAAACGCGTGGCGGGCCGCGTGTGCGTGTCGAGTCACATCTATAGTCGAGTCCTCGTCGTGCCGGAAATGTCGTCTTCACGGTGTCAACGAGAGTAGTTGACGTGCAACATGTCACGTCGCGTGTCACGTCGCACGTCATGACATGTTTCGTGCACTCGTGCCCTCGCCCGACACGATTGCGTGATGGATCTTTTATTTGATTCTGATGCGTAGCGAATAAGTGGCGACTGTGTCTGAAAGCCGCGTGACGTGTTGACGGGATGACGGGATCAGGCGCGGTAATATGTCCTAGGAGTGAGAAAAGTTGCCGCGGTCCAATTTCACGAGCGGAAGGTGTCTGTACGATGTATTAATGTACAATAAAGTTGGTTTGAAAAGGAGGAGGCTCACAGTGTCCTTTCTTTCCTCTATCACGGCGCATTGAAGCCACGTGAAGCCATCGTTTTCGCGCACGATGATGGCAACCATCGTCGATGCCTTGTGAAATCCATGCTTCTCTCTGCTATAGTTGCTTTCTATAGCTAGCTGATCCACGCAGTATTCGGTTATCTGTGTGTGTGTGTCTTTCTCTCTTTCTGTCTCGCTCTCACGCTCGTTCCCGCTCTCTTTCTCTTCCTCTCGTTCTCTCACTCTCTAGCTTTCTTTCTCTCTCTCTCTCTCTCCCTCGCTCTAGCTCTCTCTTTCTCTCGCGCTCTCTCTTTCTCTCGCTTTTCACGCGCGCTCTCTCTTTTTTTCTTCTATGTCCCTCTCTCGCTCCCTTGCTTCCTTTTTCGCATCCCCCCTTCTCACTCGCTTTCTCTCTCGCTCTAGCTTGCCTCTTCCCCTCTTTCTCTCGCTCTCTGTCGCTTTCTCTTTCTCGCGCACGCTACCTCTCTCGCCTTCCCTCTCCCTCTCCCCCTCTCCCTCTCTCCTTCTCCCTCTCGCTCGCCTCTTCTCTCTGCTCTCTCTCTCTTTCCCCCTCTCCCTGCCACCGCCCGTGGCGGCGGTGTATTTTACTGAGAATGCATTGTAATCTGCACGCCGCTCTGCCCCGCGCGAAGTTCAACTGAAGAAGCGCTTACTATGAATTCGGCGGGCGGCAGCTACGTCGGATAAAGACAGCGGCGCTACGGCTGATATACGATGTCAGGAAATGATCAGCCGCCGTTTTGTGCGTTTTTTTGGCAGTGACGTCGACGCTTTGTGCCGTCGTCTGCCCGCGAGGCCGTCGTTCGGTGATACGTCATGCGAAAACTCGGCTTACCGATATTCGCCGCGGGTCGTGGAAATCCGCACCGTGTGTGTGTGGGTGCGTGTTTGTGTGTGTGTGCGTGCGAGAGTGTGCGTGCGCGTGTGTGTGTGTGTGCGAGATTGTGCGTGCGTGTTTGCATGCGAGATTGTGCGTGTGTGTGTGTGCATGCGTGTGCGTGTGTGTACGTGCGTGCGACAGCGTGCCTGTGTGTACGTGCGTGCGAGAGTGTGCGTGTGTGTAGGTGCGTGCGAGAATGTGCGTGTGTGTACGTGCGTACGAGAGTGTGCGTGCGCGCGTGTGTGTGCATGCGAGATTGTGCGTGCGTGTGTGTGCATGCCTGCGGGGGTATGCGTGTGCGTGTGTGTACGTGCGTGCGAGAGTGCGTGAGTGTACGTGCGTGCGAGAGTGTGCGTGTGTGTAGGTTAGTGCGAGAATGTGCGTGCGAGAGTGTGTGTGTGTGTGTGTGTGTGTGTGTGTGTGTACGTGCGTGCGAGAGTGTACGTGATTGTACGTGCGTGCGTGAGTGTGCGTGTGTGTAGGTGCGTGAGTGCGAGAATGTGCGTGTGTGGACGTGCGTGCGAGAGTGTGCGTGTGTGTAGGTGCGTGCGAGAATGTGCGTGTGTGTACGT